AGACAGGGAGCTGGGCATGGCAGAGCTAGGCATAGCAGAACTGGGTTCATCCAGTGTTCTAGAAACAGCAGAGCCAGGCATGGATGGAGTACCTGGAACAGCAGAATTACGGGTACTGTGCATACTTGGTGTGGCAGAACTGCGGAAATTAGGAGTATTTGGCATAGCAGTATTACGAAAAAGCGATGAGCGAGATACAGCCGAGCTGGGTTCAGCTGGTGTATGTGGTACTGCTGAGCCAGGTGTGGCCGGGCTGTTTACTGTGTCAGAGTTACGCAAAGTTGATGTGTCTGATGCAACAGAGTTACGTAAAGATGAAGTGTGTGATACAGCAGAATTGCGGATACTGTGCATACTTGGTGTGGCAGAACTGCGGAAATTAGGAGTATTTGGCATAGCAGTATTACGAAAAAGCGATGAGCGAGATACAGCCGAGCTGGGTTCAGCTGGTGTATGTGGTACTGCTGAGCCAGGTATGGCCGGGCTGTTTACTGTGTCAGAGTTACGTAAAGTTGATGTGTCTGATGCAACAGAGTTACGTAAAGTTGAAGTGTGCGATGCAGCAGAATTACGGAAAGACGAAGTGTGTGATGCAGCAGAGTTACGGAAAGATAAGCTGTGAACTGAAGCAGAACTCCGGAAAACTGGAGTATTTGGTATACCGGGACTGTGGAATACTGGACTATTCACAGTGGCAGAATTTCGGAAAAGTGAAGTGTCTAATGCAGCAGAGCCAGGCACAGCTAAAGTATTTGGCACTGCCAAGCCAGGTGCAAATTGGGTGCTTGGTGTGGCAGAGCTGGGGTCATACAATGTGCTTGGCGTAGCAGAACTGGGGGCATACAATGTACTGGGTGCAGCTGAACCAGGCATGTCTGGAGCATATGGCATAGCATAAACAGGAGCATCTGGTGTATTTGGCACAACAAACCCTTGGAACATTGGTGCACTGTTTCTAGGGTAATATGCCAAATTCGGCATTTGAATACTGCCATCCTGTGGGGCAAAATAACCCTGCATGCCACTATTGGCTGGCATCGAGCTCCTGCTTGGTGGGGCTAAGTGGCTTGGGTCATAATCCAGAGTAGCATTGGCTCCAGAACCAGAACCAACACTAGGGGCGTTTGTGGTTGGCACATAGTAGCCAGGACCATTGTAATTTCCAGGAATTGCATTGCCATTGCTATCATAATAATAGCCAGGGATGGTGCCCATATCGGCCATTTGGTAATACCCAGGCACATAGCCTTCTGAAGGAGCATTCATGTTTTGTAACGATCCAGGCAGGTAATCTGCATTCGCTGGGTTGTTATTCTGTGGGTTCATGTAGTAGCCCATATTGGTATAGCCAGGATTTGTCCCGTTGTTGTAGTTGTCTCCGTAATTGTAGCCTGGTGCCATATTTTGTTCCATGTTCGGCGGCATGTTTGTTCTTGCATTGTTGGGTGCAGGGCTTGACGCATTTCTGGCTCTTGAACTTATTCGGGGACTCGAGGCGTTGTTTGCATCTGTGGCGGTGTTTGGGGGCCGGTTGGATGTTGGCGTATTTGCGCGGCCTGACATGGGTTAAATATAAATATAAATATGTAATAAAAATAAAAATAAAAAATAATAATAGTTGTAAAATTTAGAAAAAGAAAAACCAAACAATTTTTTCAGGCGGTGTTGCTTATTGGTTTCATATTCGCAAAAACTTTTAGCACTAAAAAGCAATAAACTTTAATGCAAACTTGGCAGCTTTGCAATTTTTTGATAATGTATTGTATAAAGAAATTTTTACTTTTCTTTTTTCCCTTTTTTCTTTTTAAATATTTACTGACATTGCTCAATTTTCCTTTTTATAAAATCTGCTGCAAAAATAAAAGCCAGACATACAAAAAAAAGTGCACTATACTTTGTGCGCGGGTGTGTATAATTACGAGACCAGCTCAAGGCATTTATTTATTAAAAAACAGAACATTATATTTAAAAAAGATTAAGTAAAGCGCAGTCCAATTCCCTGGGCAGCTGCCGCCGCTAAAACCTTCTGTGGGTCACACCCCCACTGCACAAACGAACTCATCAAAACTCTGTCAGAAAACTCATAAACATCATTAAACGTCAAGTTATTAAAAGTATCTACGCAAATACAAGCAACCCTGTAGTTTATATTTACTTGGAGTATCCCGGATAGGCTGTTATAGGGGCATAGACAGATGCCGTGGTCACTGATTAGTATTGCGAGGACTTTTTCTTCAGTGAAGATCTTGGCTGGAAAGAATTTCTCTTCATTTGGCGCTACGTTGAACCAGTGATAGGTTGTGTCAGCGTGTTTGTGGAAAAACATTATGTGAATGTTACTTGGCAAGAAGTTCAGAATAATCATTGACAGGATAAATAAAATTTGAATTAGTGAGAACGTAAATGAAAAAGTAGAAATTGTTTTAAAAATAAAGGATAATATCAAATGGATAGATGGAGGAAATTCCTTATATGCTAGTATTTATAACATTTTGCCTACATATTTTCATGTTCTTCTTGCCCGATATCATATTGACAGATGCAAAATTTCAGCCACACCATATCACACCACACGCACATCACATCAAGACGCGCGAGTCAACTAATCATAAAACAAACAAACAACAAACAACAGATACGCAGCACAAACTGCTTTATGGCTTCCCAGAGCGGCTGAAGAGGAAAGAAGGGTGATCTCCATCATATGCATGTTTTTTTGGTGTCAGAGAAAGCCCGCAATACGTTGGACAATACCAAGGAGATCCAATTTGAAAGAATAGGCGCAATGGTATTTATAAGCAATTACTCAGAAAGTCAAATAGTTGAAGCGGCGACAACAAAAAAGGGAATGTTTCTGTTTTGATATTGCATAAGAGCTTTGAAAAGAAAAAAATGAAAAGCATTAAATTGAACATGTGTTTTCATTTTGTCGCTATTTTTACACTGCCATTTCCGTTGGGAGCTTGTTGGTTTTTGGTTGATCAGATTAAAGGAAATTATAATCATTTATGTGTGATCACGGATGGCTTTGAAAGGGACAGCTTCAACTGCAATCAATCGTAGAAGATAAAAAAATTGAATTTCTCAATTTCAAAGTTCAATTCAATTCAATTCATTGTTTTTTCTTTAACTGTCTATTAATTCCCATTTCACTTTATAAACGATAAAAACCATACAGTTTCTCTAAACGGGGACATAGAAAAATTATGAGCTCGGTACTTGCACGTAGTCTTCGGCTCACTCAACAGCAGCAACAGCAAGTCACACAAGGCTACCGGGCACTCCATGCCAGCAGTGTTTCTTTGACCGGACGGAACAAGAAAAAGGTGAATTTCAAAGCACACGCAATCAAGAATCGCAAAGAACATGCGGAAATCTACGACGAGCAAGACCGCGCCTATGACATGGAGCATATGGAGGACTGGGAATACGACGACCACCATACCTACGGACACCTGTTCCTCGAAAGCATCCGCGACGTACGCAAATACGTTCGTATGATGAAGTTCGAACACCCAACGCTGGCACAACATGCCAAGGCGTTTAAACCGCCACAGGCGGATACGCATTTTTTGAAGTTTGAGAGCTCAGTTACTATGGGGGATAAGGTGTTGGCGCAGGATCGTAAGGTTGTTTTGCGCTTGCAGGTGGCCAAGTTGGGGTTGAAGGGCGCGGAGTTGCATAAGTTTTTGTTGTTGGTTGGTGTCAGGTATAATCCGCAGACGGATGAGCTGAAGATGTCGGAAAATAGGGAGGCCACTTCGCTGCTGAATAAGAAGAAGCTGGCAGATACCCTAGTGGAGCTGATCGCTGAGGCCAAGAAGAAGGACGATATGTTTGCTGATGTGCCCCTGGACTTTGCGTACCATGGGTACAAGCACAAGATGCCGTTCCCCACCGAGTGGCTGTCCAAGGCAAAGGCCAGCACCGAGTAAACCGGCAAACAAGTGGGAAAACTAAAAAAGCTAAAAACAAAGCAGCCAGTTTTTATTTCTTTTCTTCAAGGGATATCTTTCTATTTTACGGTTTAAAAAAATATATTTTTCATTTATTACACGTTGGGATTCATGTTGCCAATGATGGCGGTCAGGTACTCGTCGGGGGTGGATTTGCACAGCAGATCCTCGCGGTTGCTAGCGACCAGCCTCTGGCTCACCGAAGTCGACTCCTCTGTTCCAACATCAAAATACGACAGCTTCGACCACGGCTCCTCCTCAAGTCTCTGCTGCATAAATGCGATGGAATTCTGCTGCTGGCGCAAAGCCTCCTCAGCCTCTGCAGTCCTCACAGTAACCTGTACAGTCTGCGCCTTGGCCTCCTTCTCTTCATCATCCTCGTCATCATCCAATTTACTCGCAGCCTTTATTTTCTCCGCAACCTTATCCAGGTACTTCAAGCTAGGCCTCAGCTGCGTTACCTTCTCCATAGGTGTCAAATGCAGCTCACCACTGTGAACCACGGCAGCCAAGTAGTTGCTGCTCTTAGGGATGTCGACTGAAACCAAGGTCTGGATATCCAACAGCCGGCCGTTATCCGATAGGCCGGCGCCCAGTTCGCGGCCGCGCTCGGTGTTGTACATGGGGCTTTGGACATCCAGCGGCATGTCCATTTCTATTTGGCCGTGGATCGGCTTGATCCGCGCTACGCTGGGGACAAGCTGCCCGGGTTTGACCTGGTTAGGGCTCTGCGGGTATTGCAGCAGGTGGAGGTTTTTGGACAGCTTGTGTGTCAGAAAAACGGGGATCTCAGCCACGATCTCGTCGTCGGGCAGACCATAGGCGGCGGCTGACGGCAGCGGTTTGGTTGAGGCGGCCTCCATTTTGACATCCATTTTGACATCCATATTGATGTCCATATTGATGTCCATTGACTCGGGAATTGGGCGGTGCTGTTTTTATTGTGGTATGAGAAGTAGAGGGAAAAACTAAAAGTGAGGAGGAAGAAGGTGGATGTAAATTTTTCTTGTGAATTTTTTTTTGCGGTGCAGGTATTAATGGTGCGGCGACGGTTTTTAGGGGCAATTCACGTGACATTACTCTAACTCGAGCAAGTTTGGCGAAAATGGCTGCCAGGGCATAAGTGGAGCGAGAAAGTGACGCGGAGGAGGCGGGGCGGCAGAAGAAAACACCGTGTAGGAGACAACCTTGCCTATAGGGTGAGGCTTTGAGTCATCATTTGATCCCCACAAGGGGTTTTGTTCGGTTTTCATTCAATATGGTCAAATTTCATCATGTGGGGGCGAGCGGCTGCTGCGCGACCATCGTAACGCAGAGCAGCAAGCAAATACTTTTCAGCATCCAACACGCACACTCACGCACTCACGCACTCGCTCAGACACTCAGGCACTCAGGCGCTCAGGCACTCGCGCACTCACATTCACACGTCACAAACAAGCTTGCGAAATAACGGCTACGCATGGATTCGGCAACAACACAAGTGGTCTCGCACGTGCGGTCCGTGCTCAAACGGCTCAGGCTTAACGACCAGCGACTGCGTAAGTAGAAAAATGAAGCTGAACACGGAGGATTTCATGCGGATCAGATCAATTTGGCAGGATCTAATTTACATTTATCTTTGGTTTTAGTGCTCGCGGTGTCGGGCGGCGCAGACAGCATGGCGCTGGCATTCGTGGTCAGCCAGGCGGCCGGCGCGCACAACTGCCATGCAGTGACAGTGGACCACCGGCTGCGCGCCGAGAGCGCCAGCGAGGCCGCCGCCGTCGAGCGCTACATGCGGCAGCTGGGGATCACACACGAGACGCGCGCGCTGCACTGGGCGGCGCACCCGCCGGCGCAGCGGCTGGAGGAGGCGGCGCGCGCGCAGCGGTACGCCGAGCTGTCGCAGGCATGCCGCCAGCAGGGCATCTCTTGTGTGATCACTGGGCACCACGGCGGCGACCAGGCAGAGACGTTTCTGCTGCGGCTGCTGCGGCACAGCGGCGTCTACGGGCTAGCCGCCATGCCGCTGCAGGCGCCGCTGCCAACCGCGTGTGGCCAGGATGCCCAGGTGGTCGTGCGGCCGCTGCTGGGCATCGCCAAGCCGCAGCTGTACGCACTGTGCCGTCGCGAGCGCATCCCGTGGCACGAGGACCCAAGCAATGCCAGTGCGGACTTCCGCCGCAACGCCCTGCGCCGTGCCATCGCTGCGCGCGAGCTCGAGCCGCGCTCGCCCATTACTGCGCCGGCGCTGCTGCGCGTCTGCGCCGCCATGCAGCGCCACCGCGCGTTTATTAATTTGCGCCTGGCCGAGCTTCTGCGCTCAGCCGCGCGCTTCGACGCGCCGACGGGCACCGTGGAGCTAAGCGCCGGCGCGGACACGGGCTGCGCCGGCGTGCCGCGCTGGGCGGCGAACCCTGCGCTGCGCGAGCGGCTGCTGGCGGCGGCTGTCGGCTGGGTCGGCTGCAGCGCTGCGCCGCCGGAGCTCGCGCACCTGGACGCGTTCGCGCGCGCCATTGCGGGCAACGTTGGGTGCACGACCGGCGGCGTCACGCTGCTGCCGCCAACGACCAAGCGCGGCTGGCTTCTGTGCCGCCAGCCGCCGCGCTCTGCGGAAATCGCCGCCGTCGCGGGCGTGGCACTGGGCGGCTCGGCACTGTGGGACAACGGGCGGCTGCTGATCACCGTGGATCACCGGGATGGATCAGCCGGGCTGGGCAATCGTAGTTGGAGCGTGCATTCGCTGGATGATGCCATGCGCCAGTGGCATGCGCCCATCGAGGCCCACCGCCATTGGCTGAAAGGGGAGCGCCGGCTGCCGCTGCCACTGCCGCCTGTGCTGGCCGGCATGCCGGTGGTGTGCGTCAACGGCGCGCCTGTGTTTGCCCTGGGCCGCGCTGTTGAGGGCGCATTGCGCGATGTCAGCGTCAGTGTGCGCTCGCCCAGAAGCGTGCCGTTTGCTGCAGGCACGCCAGAGGAAATCGTCGCATGAGCAGATGGGAGATTTGCCGTCAATTCCCCCCTCCCCCCCCCCCACTGCGCACGCTATTTCCATTTATCTTGCTCCTGACATGAAAATTCCTGGGCGGCGCGCATAAATCCCACGCTCCATTCCTGATGTTAATCCACCATATTCTATTGTTGAACATGCGAGTCGTTTTCTCTCCTTTCTTTTTCAACCCTAATATTTTCTTTCTTTTTATTCACTTTCAACTACTTGACAGCCGCTTATCACAAATTGCAAATTACAAATTACAAATTACAAATGGCCGACTACGAAATGTCCTGCACCTGCGATGTTGCCCCTGGCAACCGCCCACACCGCCACCGCGAGCTGTACGTGCCAACCCAAAGTTACACTCGCAAAAATATATAGTAGCTTATAATAAAAAGGGTGGGAAAAAAGCTCTGTTTATACGCCAGCTAACTCGACTACACATCCACGCTTTTCAACCTTGTTCTTCTAGACAGCCCGAGCCCGTCATTCTCGACAGCATTCTGGATCATATTGGCAACACGCCTCTTGTCAGGCTGAACCGCATTGCCGCAAGCGAGGGGCTCCAGTGCGAGCTGCTGGCCAAATGCGAGTACTTCAATGCCGGCGGCTCTGTCAAGGACCGCATTGCCCATCGTATTCTCGAAGAGGCCGAGGCTGACGGCCTGATCAAGCCTGGATTCACCATCATCGAGGCTACCTCGGGAAACACCGGCATTGGCCTTGCCTTGGCCTGCGCAGTCAAGGGATACAAGTGCATCATCACGCTGCCCGAGAAGATGTCGCAGGAGAAGGTCGATGTCCTGCGCGCGCTCGGCGCCCAGATTATTCGCACTCCGACGGAGGCCGCCTGGGACTCGCCGCAGTCGCACATTAGCGTCGCCAACAGGCTGCACAAGGAAATCCCCAACTCCATTATCCTCGGCCAGTACACCAGCCCGTACAACCCTGTGGCCCACTACGACAGCACCGCTGAGGAGATCCTGCGCTCGTGCAACAACCAGCTCGACATGCTCGTGTGCGGAGCCGGCACTGGAGGCACCCTTAGCGGCATCGCTCGCAGAATCAAGGAACGTTGCCCCGAGTGCATCATTGTCGGCGTCGACCCTATTGGCTCCATTCTGGCGCAGCCCGAGAGCCTGAACAACGCGACCACCGGGGTTTACTTTGTCGAAGGAATCGGCTACGATTTTATCCCCGAGACCCTCGACCGGTCGCTGGTTGATCACTGGATCAAGATTACCGACAAGCCTTCGTTCACCATGGCGCGCCGCCTCATCCGCGAAGAAGGCATCCTGTGCGGCGGGTCCTCGGGCGGCGCCGTATGGGCTGCGATTGAAGCTGCGCGCGGCCTGGGCCCTGGCAAGCGTGTTGTCACCATCTTGCCGGATTCCGTGCGCAACTACATGACGCGCTTCCTCAACGACGATTGGATGAAGAAGCATGATTTCTTGGATAAGGACGAGGAGATCCGTAAGCGCAACGAGCGCGATGCCTTGTGGACCGGAGCCCGCGTCAAGGACCTCAAGCTTAATCGCGCTGTGGTCATTGGGATGGACACCCCGGTTTTGGAGGCTGTGGAGCTGATGAAGGACAATGGCTTTGACCAGCTCCCTGTCATTAGCAGCCGCGGCATCCTGCGCGGAATCGTCACCCTCGGTAATGTTCTTTCTCTTGTCACCACCGGCCGTGTCAACTCGAACGGCAAAGTGGCCGACGTTATGTTCCGCTTCCAGACGGGCGGCGGTTCGTCAAAGAAGTTCCGCGAGATTACCCCTGAGACTCCCCTGGGCGAGCTCGAGCACTTTTTCGAAAACAATATTGCTGGTATTGTCACCGAGCGCCTGTCCATTGATGAAGACCGCGTGGCGTTCAAGCCCGTGCATGTTGTTACTGCTGTCGACTTGCTGACTTATTTGATGAGGAAGAAGAAGTAAGGACTCATAATTACCTTTTTGTCTATTGATTTAAAACTTACATTAAATTATAAAGGCAGTCAAGCCCCTTTTAACTATTCCTTATTTGGGGGATTCTTTATAATGTTATAATAAGAGGGTGGCGACTTGGGTGAAGCACTAGCTGCCTAGTGTTAAAAGTATGTTTGGTTGATTTATGAAAGTTTTTATTATCAATGGAACCAAAAGTAGAACTAGGGCCGGCCTCATCTTGTATATGTACCCTGTTGCCTTTATTGTGCACTTTACCAATTCTGCACCCCCATTGGTAAGAACTGGCTATTCTGTAGGTAGACGGATGTTTTGGCGTGTCAAGGCTATGGTCTTCGCATATGCGCGTTCAAGCATATGCATTATGGAAAGGAGAGATATATCAGGGTGTCATTATTTGTGTCCCCTGCTTTGATCTTGTATGGTACCATCAATGCCCTGTTAATTGGCATGTTGAGGTTAATAATCGTGAAACGAGTCTTTGTCAACATCCACTTCCATATTATCAGGCTGCTCAACAATAAAAAAGTATTGCATATTACATACAAATAGCCATTAATAGCTTATTTCCCTTTATTCACTACAGGAAAATGTAGCGCAAAATTTATCTGGCAGCAGCTAATCGCCAGTATATAGATGCCAACTAATCTTCTGTCCTCACACTTTTTATTTTACTTTTTTCTTCACTTTTAAATCATTCATAGCTACTATATTATTACTATAATTCATTCATTTATTACTCAAAAATGCCTAAAACTTTTGCGAAAATTTTGTTAAAAAATAAGTCGGAAGCAGATAAAAAAAATTGTTGCCATCATCAGGTCCGTCACAATCCAATGTTAGAAAGGATGTATTAGCGCAAAATAAACACATTAATTGAGTCGTGGGAAAGAAATTAACCGTCAATGAAAAAAGATAATGATAAATCAAAATTTCATTCTACTTGGGCTAAAGCGTTTAATGTTGAAAAAGTAACGATAATTTCAGGAAAACAAATGGCCAAAGAAGTATACGAATATGTAATAAAACATGCAGGCGTGAAAGGCTTGGTTGTTACCTTTAGTTTTCACTTTTAAAACAACTTTATTTTGTTTAAAACTGTATAACTTATTACAATTGATAAATACTTGAGTCCTACTAAAGTTAAATGGAACCAATGTGGTAATATACACGTTTGTAACGATGATATTATTGTAGCAAAGGTTTGATATGCACTTAATAAAAAACAGTGACAAAGTCGTTTACTACTACATACATGCAAGCAAGAGAGCTATTGATGCACGACTACTTTTGTAGTCCTACTCATTTTAATCATTCGGCAGATGAAGAGGATAACTATTAGTAGGCGTAAAATTAATATGTTTTAAGAGGATATTTTACTGGTG